CCTTAGAAGCATGGATATTGGGACTTTAACTCATGTACTTTGGACATTTTACCAGGAGAGACCCATCCCTGGAAAAAGGCACCATGTTTGATAAAGTAGATCAGTGAAAAAGAGGAAATACCAGGAATTGTGTCATAGAACAAACAGCTCTGTCTTGGAAGAAGGACAGCCAGAATGCTCCTTAGAAGCAAACATGGTGAGACGTAGGCTCATGTTCTTTGGACATGATGTCAGGAGAGACCAGTCCCTGGAGGACATCATGCTTGGTAAAGTCGAGGGGCGTCCAAAAAGAGGAAGGCCCTCAATGAGATGGATTGACACAGTGGCTGCAACATTGGCCTCCAACAGTGCAACAATTTTCAGAATGACACAGGACCAAGTATTCCGTTGGTGTTTACATAGCGTCTCTGTAAGTTGGAACTGACTCCAAAGCACTTAACAACAACACAACACGGGCCGAAAAGATCTCTCTGCTGGTAACGGTTGACAAAGATCTGAGCGATGTGGGAGGAGCAATAGCACAGACAGAGAATAACCAGCACAGAGACTCCGAGGCAGAAAGCAGCCTGGTGTGTTCTCTGCAAGGTGAGCCAGTGTGGTTGCAGGAGAGTTTTAAGAGAGCAAGTCTGAGGTTAGCAAAAGGCCAACTATTGAAGGCTCTGTGGGCTTTTCTGAAGACTGACTTTAAGAGTGCTGAGAAGCCACTGGGAAAATGTGAAGAGGGATTAGTGTGATAGGAGTTACGCTCGAAAGTGGTAACTGGCTCTGTGGGAGATGGAAGCAGACAGACTTAGAATAATCTAAGTAAGATAACCGGTGACAGTGGAGGTGGTGAGAATAAGTAGATAATGAGTTGTTTGAAAGGAATAAAGAGGAAAAAGAATAAAACCTACATTTTTTGCTTGAAAAATCCATCGGCAAGTCCTTTTGAATTACTCCCTGGTGGCATAGTGCGCTAACTGCAATGTCAACAGTTCAAAACCACCAGCCCCACTGTGAGAGAAAAATGAGGCGTTCTGCTCATGTAAAGATTTATAGTCTCAACACCTCACAGGAGCAGTTTTATTTTTCCCTGTAGGGTCCCTGTGAATTGGAATCTACTTGATGGCAGAGAGTTGAGTGTGAATATTGTCAGTTATGCTGCAAATATGTATGTTTGTTTTTATAAAAGGTTCATCTTACTTCCCTGGAGCGGCTCGGGGTTTTGAAAAGCTGACCTTGTGGTTCACAGTACAAGGAGTGTTTGTTTATTTTTTTATCGCATGGTTAAATTGTCTCACATGATGTATCCCTGGCCTTTCACCCTTCCTCTCGCCAAAGTTTGCATCAGTGTTTTTGGTGTTTTTAGTTCCACCAACTGTTCAAGCTCTTTATCATCCTATCCAAGCAAATGCTTCCTCCAACTTTCATCTACCGTCTTCCAACATAAATATTATATGGGATAATGAATTATTTAATGTAGCTCTTCTAGCCGAATTCTCTAAATCCCACCAAATGACCTTTCTGCATGAATCTGGTAAGAAGATGGGTAAGTTACTGATAGAATTTACCTATGAGTAATTGGGAACAGGATTCCCTGGAGTGGCATCTTGCTGTGTGTAAATGAGCCTTCTGAGAAGCAGGAAGAGAGATCTTAATACCAGCGAAAATCAGAAGTGGAGTGCATCTTCTGGACCCAAGATCCCTACGCAGTGCACCTCCTGGATCCACATGACTGCTATACCACCAGAGGAGCAGTAGCAGAGCCAGGTTCCAGAGCATGGACCAAGTGATGGATCCCAACTCATGGAGCCAGTTAAGATGAGAGCTTTTGTGCGAGAGGCTGCCTTGCAGAGTGGGGTGCCTCTAGGCCTTTAATTCAGTGAATTGCGTTTGTTGACTCGGGAGCTTGAGCTGAATGCCTTCAGGCTACAGTGGTATGAGGGGTGTGTTAGCCTGGGTAGACTAGAGAAACATTCATGGACACCCATATGTATATAGGAAAGAGCTTTATATACAAGAGCAATTGAATATTGAGAAAACATCCCAGCTCAGTCCAGATCAAGTCCATAAGTCTGATATTAGTCTACATGTCTGATACCAATCTATAAAGTCCTCTGTGGGGAACAGAAGGATTTCTATTAAGTTGTCTCCCCAAAATATGTACCAAACTTAGCTGCTTAAGAGTGACTGTACAATAGGTGATCAGCGAAAGTAGGTCAGAGATTATTCTCCTTAACATCAGCCATCTATAGTGGCTAAGACTATTAGTCTGGCTCACCCTAAATAAGACCCACTCCTTTCTGATAAGGATAATGGTGGTCTGTTCACTTGCAGGAGATACCAGAGAGGGCAAACCCGCCCAAGGATGACCAAGGTTAGATAGCCATTATCAGCTGTCTAGATAAAGCAGACACCATTGTTATTCCCACAACAAATATGGGCACACCCCTAGGTGATTCCTCTCCTATTGATTGTATTGCCTATATTAATACCCCTCCCGGTGACTCAGGTTATTGTCTGCTATCAGGGAACTTGCATGCCTCCCAGAATAGTAATTGTCTGTTTTATTATGTGAGACATTAGAGTGATCAAACTTGTTCTAGAATGAATTGTATTGCCCCTTTCTGTGATGTATGACTGTAATCAAATATGATGCGTGGTTAGCAATAAATAGAGAGGCTCCATGGTTCTCAGAGGAGTGGCTGGCCGGAGGGTGGCTGGAGAAGGTGACTAAGGAGGACGAAGCGGTGGCTTCTCTGACGACTGAGCCCCCTCCATGAGGACCATCAAGCCTAGCTGAGGTGAGCTACGCTACCATGAATTGCGTCTGACTCCATTACTTGACTCCATCCTTTAACTCTCATGCTCTCTATGACTTTACTATGATCTCTACTTATTATCGCTGTACAATTGCGCCTACTGAACCTGTGATGTTTTGTGGGGTTCCCTCTTCCCCTTAACCCCACAGCCCTCTTCAGACTTAACACATGCAATGACGCCAAATGCAGGAAGATCATAGGCCAGTGGGTGGGAAATCTTGTGGATCCAGTGGCATTGTAAGCATCTCAGTGCTGGCAGGGGTCTCCTTGTGGTTCCTCCAGCCCAGAGCACTAGCGTAGCTCCATGTGTCTTGTCAGCTGCAATGTCTCCTGTGAGTGAGCGTGTGCCCCACCCCCAGGGAGCTATTTATCTCCTTAGCACCTCTAAATGAGGTCATCAAGCTACGACCTGATTGACAGGTTAGACTCCACCCCATCACTCTTAATCCTCTCAAACTGACAACGGATTATGTAACTACCACAAGGGGGTACCCCCCAAATGGAAATGTACCAGGTGGAGCAGAGGTTTTGTAGTACCCGTTTTTCCTGCTAGGTGAGCACCAGGTAAGCATCGAGCAAGTCGCTCTGAGCCAGTGCTCCCAGTGGTGTCGCCTGGGAAGATTCTCTGGTCACAGTGAAATTTTTCATAAAAGCAGTTTTGCACGAACCTCCTTTTTTTGTGATGGCCGATTTAAGAGAACAGCACATAGCTGTGAAATTTTGTTTCCTGCTTGGGAAAAATGCCGCAGAAACTGTTGTGATGTTGAACACAGCTTACAAAGACAGAGCTATGGGAAAAACTCAAGTGTACGAGTGGTTTTCTCATTTCCAAAAGGTTGAAATGTTAATTGATGACCAACCTCATTCTGGACAAACGGATGCAAATGTTGACTTGTGGAGCTTTGTGAGTTCATTCCAGCAGATCAGACTCTTTGTCCAGCTTTGTATTTAGAGGTTCTGAGAAGATAGCATGACAGAGTGTGACCAAAAAAGGCCTGGTTTGTGGCAGACCGGGGACGGGTTTTGCCACCATGACAATGCACCTGCTCACGCAGCCATCTCAGTGAGCCAGTTTTGGGGAAAAAAACGCATGCCTCTCTTACCCCAGGCACCGTACTCACCTGACCTTCCTCCAGGCCACTTTTTGTTTCTGCAAATGAAGGCTATGAATGCACAGCAATTTGATGGCATAGAAGAGGTGACGAAAAAACGAGGAAGGTGCTATCAGCCATCCAAACAGATGACTCAAACATCAAAAAAAAAAAAAGGTTTCCAAGAATGGAATCTCAGATTTGACGAATGTATTAAGTGTAATGGTGAATACTTTGAAGGTGATAAGGTTGTTTGTTAAGATATTTAAATACATAGCTTTGGAAAAATAAAAAATGTCCAGTGTTTTTTTGGGGGCTACCCTCTCATTAGCTAATTTGGGCACTTATTAACAGACTTGAAACTTTGTAACATGTCTTGGTAAACAACTCCTCTACGTACTTCCCACTGACATTACAACATGTAAACTTTCTTATTAAACCCTTTAATTGTGAAATTTGTCTGTGACTTTCTATACAACTGTTGAAACGGGTCTTAGAAACCAGAGAGAGAATGGTGATTCGAGTGGCACGAGCCCCAGTAAAATGATTGATTAAAATAAAAAAATAAAAGAAACCAGGGAGAGAGAGTATAGAACATTAGGTAAAGCAATGCATGTTACCTCCTCAGAGGTCTCCATTCCATTATTGTCTGTTTTCAGCATGGATTTTTCTTTCTACTACTTGAAATGTCTTCCAATAAATAGACGTGTAAGCCTGATCTGTCTTCAGTAGACTTCGGCTCCAGCGGTCAGATGTCCCTTTTCTTGGCTGTTTCCCTGTAGCGCCTAGCGCAGCGGCTGACACGTAGTAGTTGTTCAGTACAGATGAGTATTTATTAAACGAATAGGCCCTTAGAAGGACCTTGATAGGTGAGGTAACATTAAAAAACTGGTAGACATGAAAGTAGCCCTAAAATACTTCCTAGTGTTCTTCTTTCCTGTTCTGGAAAATTTTGGATGATCCCAGACTATAGTCATGACAGGGAAGAGGAAGCGTTTCCTGTTCACTCACCCCTGCGACTGGTGCCTGGCACAGCAGCGCTTCAGAGGCCAGCCCGTCACTACAATACATGTTTACTGACACGGACTCTTCCATGCTCTCTCTCCAGGTTAATCTAAAGAGACCATGTCCTTTCTGGGCTGAAGATGGCCATTGTTCAATTAAGGACTGTCATGTGGAACCCTGTCCAGAGGTAAACTTTTAAAAAAAATGGGGGGGAATGTTCAGTTCTGTGTGAAAATTACTTGTTCTTGAACTTTTAGATTAGCACAATCTCTCCTCTGTTTTGGGCTAATATTTATAGATTGTGGATTTATCAAGAAATTCACATGCTCTGAGCGCCTTTGCAACCAGATCATTGACGTATTCTATTCTTGTCACCAAAATGGGTTTGAAAACCCTCTCCTCTCCATTGGAATCGGTAATGGAAAATCCGTGCCTCTTCCAGGATGGGTTTGCGGTCGGCACTGCATTTGCTTGTCCTGGCTTCTCTATGGAGCAGTTCCTCGGGGCTTCTCTGTCTTCTGTTGTCTTGACTTTTTTGTTAAAGCGACACAGGCTGCTTATTTTAAAGACGATCTCTCCTTTAGGGTTTTTTCTGTTGTTTTCTAGTTATTAGATTCAGGTTGTCAGCATTTGGGGCAGTCATGCCATAGAAGGGATATTGTGTGTTCTCACTCTGCCTTGTCTCAGGAGGTGTGTGATGTCATTCCTGGTGATGTTAATTTTGATCGCTTAATTAAGGTGCTTTCTGCAAAGTTCCTTCACTGTAAAACGAGAAATTCTTTGAGACTATGAAAATGATCTTATTTTCATTCTACTTTTACCTATTACTTTTACAACCCACTGATGATTCTTTCACTAGTCAGTTATTTATATGATAGTTGCCAAACATAGGTAGTCTCCAATTTACAATAGGGCTTCACTTAGATGATCCATCTTCAAGTTGATTTTGACATAAGTAGAGTATCTCTTGGCTTCCAAGTTTTGTTTTTTTGTTGTAATATCATTATCTTTTATTAGCAAATTAAAAAAACCCAGTGGTGTCAGTGTAGTAACAATAAAAGCTGAGTCATTAAAATTGTCCAACTTCAACACAGTGCGGGAATTGTGCCAGAACTGACCCCACCACACTGAGACAAAATACTAAGGGCGTGCAACAGAACAGCAAAGGGAGCAGAGCAAGGAAGTCCCCGGGTAACACCAAAAATGGACTGTGGACCAGAGCTTGGCACCCCATCAGACTCCACTGGAAAATACTCATAAAGGTCAACAAACAGACCTTGAACTATATATAGGCTTTTCTTTTTTTAGTCATTGGGTTTTTTCCTTTTTGTTGTTGTTGTTATTTTTTTGTTTTCTTTGGTTGCTTTGTTGTGCTCTGTCTTGTTTTTGTGCATATTATTATCTCTGCAGGTCTATCTAGATAAGATAGGTGGGATAAACAATCCTGAGGAGGAAACAATAGGGCCAATGGTTCCAAGGGGTCACGGGAGGGGGAAGTGGGAGAAAGGAAGTTGTGTTAGCAAACCTAGGGACAAGGGAACTACAAGTGCCCTAAAATCGATGGCAAGGAGGCTGGAGGAGGCCTGGTGGGACTTGATCAAGGACAATGTAGCCAAGGGGAGTTACTGAAACCCAAATGAAGGCTGAACATGATAGTGGGACAAGAGGAAGGTAAAAACAAATAGAGGAAATAGCTAGGAGGCAAAGGCCACGTATAGAGGTCTAAATACAGGCATATGTAAATATATATATGATGATAGGGAAATAGATCTATGTACATATATTTATAGGTTTCGTATTAAGGAAGCAGATGGACATTGGGCCTCTACTAAAGTACTCCCTCAACACGAACATTTTGTTCTAATAATCCAGCATTCTGAGATGGTCACCTTCCTGATATGATCGCTGAAGACAAAACGGGTGTATAAGCAAATGTGGTGGAGAAAGTTGATGGTGCCTGACTATCATAAGATATAGCATCTGGGGTCTTAAAGGCTTGAAGATAAATAAGCAGCCATCTAGTTGAGAAGCAAGGAAGTCCACATGGAAGAAGCACACCAACCTGTGTGATCATGAGGTGTCGATGGGATGGGGTATCAGGCATTAAAGACCCAGAACAAAAATTCATGTCATTGTGAATTGGAGGGGTGGGGAGTGCGGAGTGGAGACCCAAAGCCCCTCTGTGGGCAATTGGATATCCCCTTACAGGAGGAGACGGGCCAGCCAGGGTGCAGTATAGCACTGATGAAATATACAGCTTTCCTCTAGTTCTTTAATGCTTCCCCCCCTCCCACTGCCATCGCCCCAATTCTACCTTACAAATCTAGCTAGACCAGAGCATGTACAGAGGTACAGATGAGAGCTGGAAACACAGGGAATCCAGGACAGATAAACCCCTCAGAACCAAGACTGACAGTGGCCATTACCAGAGGGGAAGGGGAAGGTGGAGGGAGAAAGGGGGACTGGATCACAATGATCTACCTATAATCGCATCCCAGGGGGGTGGACCACAGATTGGGTAAAGGGAGACATCGGTCAGTGAAGGCATGAAAAAATAATGATTTATAAATTATCAAGGGTTCATGGGGGAGGGAGGAAGAAAATTAAGAGCTGATACCAAGGGCTCAAGTAGGAAAAAAATGTTTTGAAAATGATGATGGCAACAAATGTACAAATGTGCTCAACACGATAGGTGTAAGGATTGTGATCAGAGTTGTACACGCCCCCAATAAAATGATTTATTTTTTTAAAAGTGTCCAACTTTGTATCCTTTCCAACTGCCTGTACCAGGGCCAACACAGATTTCACCATGGCCCTGGGCATAATCAGCTATCTGTGTTTTGCTCAGTAGATCTTAACATTAAACATTGAAAGTGATCACCCATGAATGAGAACATCAGCCAATTGTGTGCTGCAGCTTTGTGTATAGTACATTTTACTAAAGATTTACAAAATCACAAAGCAGAAAAATAGACCGGTCACAGCTGTGATTTGTTCTTACTTGAATACATCATAATCTGGAGAGTGCCTGAAGTGATTTTCTCATCCCATTTCTTCTACATTTAGTAGTCGGCGTTCTACTATAATCTACTGGAAGCAAGAGCTTTACTTTGGCTTCTCACTAGTTTAGTTATTTAATGATACACTTATATCAATATGAACTTGAGTTATTTTATTTAGTGGTTTATTTTGTTTATCATGTTACTATCATTTAATAACATTAAAAATTAATCCTTTCTAAAGAGTACAGTTCAGTGATTCTGTGTGTAGTCAGAGTTGTGGCACTGAAACCACTGTCTAATGTTGGAACCTTTTTGTCACTTATCCCTTCCCCCCACCCACAGAAAGTCTGTGTATTTTCCATTAGCAGTCACTTCTTCCCCTTAGACCCTAAAAACCACTCGGCTACTTCCTGTCTGTGTGCTCTTGCCTAATATTGACACTTCATGAAGTAAATATGTGGTCTCTTGTTACTTGCTTTATTTACTTAACATTATGTTTTCAGAGTCCTCTGCATTGTGAGGTTACGTCATTTCTATTTTTGGCTGAATACTGTTTGATAGTATGAATATGCTACATTCCTTTATTCATTCAATGGTTGATAGGCATTTGGATTGTTTCTGCTTTGGGGCTATTATGAATGATATTACTGTGAACATTGGAGTACTAGATTTTTATGAACCTGTGCTTTGAATTCCAAAATGTAATTAGTGGATTGATCATATGCTAACTCGGTTTCTCTGCGACACGACTAGATCATTGCAATGGCAAACATTTTACATACCCATCAGGAATTTCTAGAGATATTTGCCAACACATGTTGTCTGTCTTTTTATTTTAGCCAGTCTAGTATCCTAGTAAGGAGCCCTGGTGGTGCAGTTGTTAAGCATTGGGCTACAATCCACATGGTCTGCAATTCAAAACCACCAGCCACTCCACGGTCTTTGAGGAGAAAATTATTGGACACTTTATGTTGTAATCCACGTTTCGCATAAACTCCTTAGAGTTTGCATTCAGTCATCTGAAGGCAGCTTTCAATCATCAAGACAAAGGAGGAAAACAAGTTCTCCTCGGTGTTGGAGTGAGGGGACCTGAGCTCGTCGTGAGAGGGCCCCTGTTTCTGGTGCTCATTTCGTCCCAGGGCAGGTGCCCGAGGTTCACTCTGGCAGTGTAGTTGGTGGCTGCACGAAGCAGAATCAAGTGGCCAGCCGGGTTCCAGCTCTTGAGATTGGGCTGTCACTCCCCTGCAGGGAAGGCCATCTGGCCTATTTGTCGTGGGGTCAGGGACTCAGCCTCAGAGAAGAGGCTCACCTGTTGCGCCACACACATCCTGGATGGCTTCCCTGGCATCGTCACAGTGGACCGTGCTTGGGCTGGTTCTGACTCAGCGGCGGGACCTGAACTGCACCACTGGTGCAGCATCATGTGGCACCTGGTGAAATGGGTCATTGTGGTCCCAGTTTGCTTCTTATGCAGCTCCTTGGGATTGAAGGAACATGCGTGGTGTCATGCCTAGTGGCAATAATGGGCTCTCAAGAAGTAGTCCATCAAACAGACTGTCTTTGAAGGATTTTCAAAATAAGGGAACTAAGAGAGCCTTGGATGTCAGGGAGTCTCAAGAAAACTGAGAACGTTTCAGAATATAGTGGATCGGAATTTGACCAAATTGTTCCTGCAGCTCAGTCTTCCGCTATGAACCGTGAGGAGAGAGAAAACGTGCTGCCTTTTGTGGACTTGACTAACCTTGGCAATGCTTGTTATCTAAACACTGTACTTCAAGGATTATCTTTCTGGCCTGGTTTCAGATCTGGAGTGAAACCAACAGCAAACAAAAAGCCTCACACTGCCATCAAGTCGATGCTGACTCCTAGGGACCCTGAGGAAGCGAGTCGAACAGCCCTGTGAATGTCGGGCACTGTAACTCTGTACAGGAGTAGAGCACCTCATCTTTTTCCGAAGAGCAGCTGGTGTTTTGAAATTGGGGACCTTGCAGATGGCAGGCCAGCTTGTAAACATTATGCCACCAGCACTTATTTAATATTATTTCAAGGAAGAAAGAAGCTCTAATAGATGAGCCAGTCAAAAAGATAAGGGAAGGGAGACAGTGGTTGGTGTACGATATGAAAATAATAATAATTTATAATTTATCAAGGGGCCACGAGGGTGTGGGGGAGGGAAAGGGGGGAA